CTAATTAGCTATACCACTGCAGATTATATAGATTCGCCCCACTGTAGATCCTATCGGCTCATACTACTGCTCTATATGATACAATTCAACTCTATTGCAGAGCCGATACATGCACACCATTGTAAAATATCTCGATTTGTGATATACAGTATGTGGATTTTATGTAGATTCACCACCAACAGATGCGACAGATTCACGCGACTAAACATTCTAACCTCGCCGCCAAAAGGCGCGGACAATTGTCACATGTCATTGGCATGTCATTGACATGGCATTGACAATTGTCACATGTCATTGACATGTCATTGACATGTCATTGACAATTGTCACATGTCATTGACATGTCATTGACATGTCATTAACATGCCATTGACATGTCATTGACAATTGTCACATGTTATTGACATGTCATTGACATAGCATTGACAATTGTCACATGTTATTGACATGTCATTGACATGTCATTGACAATTGTCACATGTAATTGACATGTCATTGACATGTCATTCACAATTGTGACATGTGATTGACTCATGAATGGAAAATTAAAATACGAGGCAGAGTGCGACTTTTGGCCACGCAAACCAAACTCTGGACCAAATCGCAAACTACTGCCGTCTGCGCTCCTATCGATGCAGAGAGGTGGAACAGCACATCTACACAAACTCCCTCTCTATCTCCTGAAGACCTCTCGTGGCGAGCAGACCTATACATTGTGCATCGAGCTCCTAAACATATTTGCTGCCAAATGCAAGAATATAATTGAATGAATTAAACAAACAATGAAAATCGCGACATCGCCAAAACAAATCCGAAGCAAGACCCCCACCCCCCGCCGTACCCCATGAAAATGGAGGTTTATCCATAAAAAATGGATAAATCTACGATTAGCACGGTTGGCTACGTACGGTGTGAAAGAAATTCAACATACGGCCCATACTATGCGAGACAAAAGCCCATCATTCATTTGTCCTGAAAATAAACGACAACTTCATGGCCGACGCAATGTTGTTGTCCAAAAAGTGAGCGTATTTTTGTTGAGAGAAGATGGATTATGTGAGCCAAATAATCCCACAAACTGTTTATTTTAATTTGGTGGGGCCATCTGCGGGGAGATTAGGATTGTGTTGTTATCACGGATTGATTGTGAAGAGTTCCAATAAAGCCATTATGGGTTACCCTGCCCCTGACTCGCTGCTCGGACTGAAATAATAATTAATTCATTAATGTTATTCTTAAATTTTATATATATGTGTGGATATAAATTATGGAATTTATTTCTTCCGGAACACCAATCATTTAATTAAACTCCATGCCTGTTCATGACCTCATATAACGGTCTATAAACACCAAGGTCGTATCCACACACACGCGCACACACTCATCCAGTCCACACACACGCGCACACTCATACGGTCCTGGTTTTCCCAAATCCCATGGTGCTTTGCGCAATTAACGTGCACAAAATGCCAAGAAATCTCCTCGAGTGGCCGAGAGAAAGAGCGAAAGTCCGTGCCGGATCGGAGCCGAAGGGATTATGGATCCAAGCTTTCCTTGCCCTTGATCTGAGTGTTGTTAAGACAATGGAGCGTGACGGATTAGGTGACAATCCGTAATCCACCACTTTAATTGGAATCAATCAAATCAATGTATAATTTACTTAGAAGCAGGCGGCGATTCAATGATTGGCCAAGTTTATATATATTATTATTTTTACTTTAAGCAAGTATTGGTGTTCGAATTATCCAAACATCAGTAAAAAAAATGTACTTTGTTAATACGTGTAGGATCATCGTCATCATCAGCAGCAGCCTTAATCCACTGCTGGATGAAGGCTACTGCTGCTGTCACGTGACACAATACAACCGAGCAGCCCGCACACGAGTCGATGTCATCGCTCCATCTCCACGGGCGGACGTTCTCTCGTGAGTCTCGGACACCGATCCATCATCATCATCAGCATCGTCGTGGTTGTCATCCTCGCCAGGCCCGCCTGGTAACGTGCCCTACCCAAGCCCACTTTACTCGTCTTAACAGCCTATGAACGACAACAACAACAACAATAAACGCGGTCATTTATAACAATAATGGATTGCAAAGGAGAAAGGGGGAGGGGCGGGGGGAGGTAATACTTTGACAATGACAGCTCCGGCCGCATAGATTCGCTGATCAATTGTCTCGAACTAATTTAAGGAGCCGGTTATTGTTGCCGCTTAGGGTCGGTCGTTCTCTTTACGTTACGATCCGCGAGTTAACTTAAGGGTCCGTAACGAGTGAGAAGTCCCCGCAATGGCAAAAGTGTTTGTCCCTGTGAACCCCCCACCACCTACCAGGCCTCTCATAGCCGCACTCGTGGGTTAAATCCTCTGCTGGAATTCCTCTGCCCGTACGTCTCTCGGCATTGCTGCGATAAATTAATGTGTGCTCACACAGACTCCTTGGCTGCCATTCCGTGGTTAGCCTCGGCCACTTTCCTTCCAACGACCGTGGCCTGGGCAAGTTCACTTACTGGACGTCTGTGATTAAAGAGCTTTCTAGCTCATCGGATTCCTGCAGTATAAATAAATATTCTGATTGGTATGATCAGTTTTAATTGCGTTTCTCACCTGCGTACGTTCGCCTCGGTGGCTATGAGATGTTAACTACCTCGCCTGATATACAGGAGGTCGTGGGTTCGATCCCGATCTTGACGCCTGCTGCTGCTGCTGTATATTTGGAGTTTGTGTGTCATTCTCTCTCTCCCCGTGGTCGCGTGGATTTTTCTCCGGGTCCTCCGGTTTTTCCCTCCACATCACGCATTTACAGTAATTGTCTGTTATACATTTCCACGCGATAAGCCACTTCGCTGAGCTATCAATTGTGGCCAGGTGGCTTCTGAAAAAGAGCTGTACATAGCTCAGTGGGCCTTACCTGATCAAATAAACACCGTTTAGTTTACGTTCTCTTATACGCGCGTCTTTTTCGTACTTTTGTCAACGTCCGTGTTTCTGAACCGAATGTTGCAGCAAGGCCATGCGGACGATACATGATGTGCAACCGTGAGCCGTGGCCTGGAGTTGAACCCAGCTTGCCGGGGTTCATGGCGCAGTATGCAAACCACTGCGCCACCGCTCCCCGTACACGCATTATACCCGCACGCACACATACTCGTGGAACAACAACAACAAACACATACACTCACGTAATCAAACACGAAGATCCCCCGTATAGCCTTAACAGACTTAACAGACTGTTGGGGCAAGTGCTGTCAGCGAGTAGCACCTACGAAGGCCGGCACGGCACACGAGGGGGTGGGTGGCCAGCACCACGCCCGGCCGCCTCCCCAGGAATCACGTGTACACACCACACCAGGTTAACACACCACGCCAGGTACTCATTTAAGGTTGAGTTGACCTAGGGGAGGCCCAGGACCGGTTTGAATATTCGCCACTGAAAATTGGGTCGTGAGCGGAAATCGAACTCGTGCGGTTGGCTTCGCAACGCACCAACTACTACACTGCCGCTCCCCATAAATAAACACGAAAAAAAGACAAAGATCCCCCGTGTAGCCTTAACAGACTGTTGGGGCAAGTGCTGTTAGCGATCGCCTATGACGGCTGACACACAGTCGCAGACACACAGTCACAGACACACAGACACAGTCACACAGACACACAGACACAGTCACAGACACACAGTCACAGACACACAGACACACAGTCAAAGACACACAGACACACAGTCACACAGTCACAGACACACAGACACAGTCACACAGACACACAGTCACAGACACACAGACACAGTCACACAGACACACAGACACACAGTCACAGACACACAGTCACAGACACACAGTCACACAGTCACACAGTCACAGACACACAGTCAAAGACACACAGACACACAGACACACAGTCACAGACACACAGTCACAGACACACAGACACAGTCACACAGACACACAGACACACAGTCACAGACACACAGTCACAGACACACAGACACACAGTCAAAGACACACAGACACACAGTGAAAGACACACAGACAAACAGTCAAAGACACACAGACACACAGTCACAGACACACAATCAAAGACACAGACACACAGTCATAGACACAAAGTTAAATAAACTCTACGGAGCCAGGCCGATTGCTCAGAGAAGTGCAGTCAGCGAGCACTGAGTAAGCCTGTCACGATGCACGAGGGGGGTCGTGTAGTCAGCACCACGCAGGGCCGCCTTTGTCTTCCCAGTACCTAACAAAGACAAAGATCCCCCGTATAGCCTTTACAAACTGTTGGGGCAAGTGCTGTTAGCGAGCACCTATGAAGGCCGGCGCTGTGGCACACGAGGGGGTGGGTGGCCAGCACCACGCCCGGCCGCCTTTGTCTCTAGTGGCGATGTTTACACACGGCACCAGGTACTCATTTGAGGCTGAGTCGACCTAGGCGAGGCCCAGGACCGGTTTCAGATCATCGTCACCGGTGTTGGCCGTGAGAATCGAACCCGGGTCGCCAGGTTCGTAGTACCTGACACACACACACGCGCGCGCGTATTCCACGCACCGTACGTAAACTGTGTCTCGGCTTGAGCCGGAACAGTCCGGAGCGCTGTAACCACGATGCCATAATGTGGGAATTACCACGTCGACACGTACAATATTTTTCTCGTGGTGCTGCAGAGCTCGAAGCCAATAATTCACACTTAAAGCCAGCCAGCACTAGCAGCGTTCCGGAAAATGTCGTGATTAAAAAAAACTCAGCCATGCACGTCTATATATAATGTATATTGCACGTGAAACAGACGCTGCGTGGTTATATATTGCGGTGGTCCTCGAGTCAATTTCGTCCCAGGACCCAGATCCACCCAGCACCTCCTCCGCCCCTCCACACACGCAGCCTCTTAGACGAGTCCTCCCCCCCTCCTCCTCCTCCCTCCTCCCTCTTCCTCCCTCCTCCCTCCTCCTACCTCCCCCCTCCTCCCTCCTCCTCCTCCTCCCTCCTCCTCCTCCTCCAGCCCGACATATAACGGCATAGCACGCGCGAAGTTCCAAAAGAGAATTCGTGGTCGTGCCCGTGATCGTCATCGTCATCATGCTGTTGCGCATCTCTTAACACCGGTAAGAGATTTCTCCTCTCTGTACAAACACGCACGCGCGCACACGCGCACACACACAAGACAAAGATCCTCCGTGTAGCCTGCGCAGACTGGTGGGGCAAGTGCTGTTAGCGAGCACCTATGTGAAAGCCGGCACGGTACACGATTGTGATTAGTGGCCAGCAGCCACGCCCGGCCGCCTTTGTTTCCCTGGTTGCGTGTTTAAGCATCGCATCAGGTACTCGTATTGAGGCTGAGTCGATAGTGGGATGGCTGAGGATCCGGTTCAGATATAATCGTCGCTGTTAGCGGGAATCGAACTCGGGTGGCCGGGGGTTTGTAGCGCAGAGCGCTACCGCTCCCCATACTCGCACACGCACACATATTACTCCCCGTATCACTTTTATATCCTGTTGGGACAAGTGCTGTTATCGAGCACCCGCGAAGGTAATATTGTCCGTGTGTATCGTGTGCGTGCGGATGCACGCGCACAGACACATGTCACGTGCACAGAGACAGACACACGTACACGAGACGCACGCTCAGACGGACACGCGCGCACACGTACGCAGCAGACACACACGCACACACGCACACGCGCATTAACAACATACGCATACATATACACACAACACACATACATTACACACACATGTACATACAAAGACAAAGATCACCCGCATAGCCTTAACAGATTGTCGGGATAAGTGCTGTTAGCGAGCGTCTATTAAGGCAAGATCGGCGCACGAGGGGGTGGGTGGCCAACACCACGCCCGGCCGTCTTTGTATCCCCAGTGCTGTTGATGTACACAGAACACACTAGGTCCAGTCATTTTAGGCTGAGTTGACCTAAGTAAGCAACAGCACAGGTTCAGGTGCATCAGGTGTACAAGTGCACACACACACACACGCAAGCACACACATACACACTCTCATCAGATGTTCATAGTTAACGCTGAATCGACCCAAGGGAGGGCAAGGGTCCGCTCAGATATCACGCGCCACTGATGTTAGCCGTGTGCTTTATTAAACTCAGGTCGTCGCGATTGTATCGCTGCGCGCTATGACCTCCAGTATAAAAACCAAGAGGGAATGAGGAATGTGAGTGTGAGTGATGTTCTAGACGGGCTAGAGGGCTGGGTGAGAGTGGTGTGAGTGTGAATGATGTTCTAGACGGGCTAGAGGGCTGGGTGAGAGTGGTGTGAGTGTGAATGATGTTCTAGACGAGCTAGAGGGATGGGTGAGAGTGGTGTGAGAGTGAATGATGTTCTAGACGAGCTAGAGGGCTGGGTGAGAGTGGTGTGAGTGTGAATGATGTTCTAGACGAGCTAGAGGGCTGGGTGAGAGTAGTGTGAGTGTGAATGATGTTCTAGACGAGCTAGAGGGCTGGGTGAGAGTGGTGTAAGTGTGAATGATGTTCTAGACGGGCTAGAGGGCTGGGTGAGAGTGGTGTGAGTGTGAATGATGTTCTAGACGGGCTAGAGGGCTGGGTGAGAGTGGTGTGAGTGTGAATGATGTTCTAGACGAGCTAGAGGGCTGGGTGAGAGTGGTGTGAGAGTGAATGATGTTCTAGACGAGCTAGAGGGCTGGGTGAGAGTGGTGTGAGTGTGAATGATGTTCTAGACGAGCTATAGGGCTGGGTGAGAGTGGTGTGAGTGTGAATGATGTTCTAGACGGGCTAGAGGGCTGGGTGAGAGTGTGAATGATGTTCTAGATAAGCTAGAGGGCTGGGTGAGAGTGTGAATGATGTTCTAGACGGGCTAGAGGGCTGGGTGAGAGTGGAGTGAGTGTGAATGATGTTCTAGACGGGCTAGAGGGCTGGGTGAGAGTGGTGTGAGTGTGAATGATGTTCTAGACGAGCTAGAGGGCTGGGTGAGAGTGGTGTGAGTGTGAATGATGTTCTAGACGAGCTAGAGGGCTGGGTGAGAGTGGTGTGAGTGTGAATGATGTTCTAGACGAGCTAGAGGGCTGGGTGTGAGTGGTGTGAGAGTGAATGATGTTCTAGACGAGCTAGAGGGCTGGGTGAGAGTGGTGTGAGTGTGAATGATGTTCTAGACGAGCTAGAGGGCTGGGTGAGAGTGGTGTGAGAGTGAATGATGTTCTAGACGGGCTAGAGGGCTGGGTGAGAGTGGTGTGAGTGTGAATGATGTTCTAGACGGGCTAGAGGGCTGGGTGAGAGTGGAGTGAGTGTGAATGATGTTCTAGACGGGCTAGAGGGCTGGGTGAGAGTGGTGTGAGTGTGAATGATGTTCTAGACGAGCTAGAGGGCTGGGTGAGAGTGGTGTGAGTGTGAATGATGTTCTAGACGGGCTAGAAGGCTGGGTGAGAGTGGTGTGAGTGTGAATGATGTTCTAGACGAGCTAGAGGGCTGGGTGAGAGTGGTGTGAGTGTGAATGATGTTCTAGACGGGCTAGAAGGCTGGGTGAGAGTGGTGTGAGTGTGAATGATGTTCTAGACGAGCTAGAGGGCTGGGTGAGAGTGGTGTGAGTGTGAATGATGTTCTAGACGGGCTAGAGAGCTGGGTGAGAGTGGTGTGAGTGTGAATGATGTTCTAGACGGGCTAGAGGGCTGGGTGAGAGTGGTGTGAGTGTGAATGATGTTCTAGACGGGCTAGAGGGCTGGGTGAGAGTGGTGTGAGTGTGAATGATGTTCTAGACGGGCTAGAGGGCTGGGTGAGAGTGGTGTGAGTGTGAATGATGTTCTAGACGGGCTAGAGGGCTGGGTGAGAGTGGTCTGAGTGTGAATGATGTTCTATACGGGCTAGAGGGTTGGGTGAGAGTGATGTGAGTGTGAATGGTGTTCTAGACGGGCTAGAGGGCTGGGTGAGAGTGGTGTGAGTGTGAATGATGTTCTAGACGGGCTAGAGGGCTGGGTGAGAGTGGTGTGAGTGTGAATGATGTTCTAGACGGGCTAGAAAGCTGGGTGAGAGTGAATGATGTTCTAGACGAGCTAGAGGGCTGGGTGAGAGTGGTGTGAGTGTGAATGATGTTCTAGACGGGCTAGAGGGCTGGGTGAGAGTGGTGTGAGTGTGAATGATGTTCTAGACGGGCTAGAGGTATGGGTGAGAGTGGTGTGAGTGTGAATGATGTTCTAGACGAGCTAGAGGGCTGGGTGAGAGTGGTGTGAGTGTGAATGATGTTCTAGACGGGCTAGAGGGCTGGGTGAGAGTGGTGTGAGTGTGAATGATGTTCTAGACGGGCTAGAGGTATGGGTGAGAGTGGTGTGAGTGTGAATGATGTTCTAGACGAGCTAGAGGGCTGGGTGAGAGTGGTGTGAGTGTGAATGATGTTCTAGACGAGCTAGAGGGCTGGGTGAGAGTGGTGTGAGTGTGAATGATGTTCTAGACGGGCTAGAGGGCTGGGTGAGAGTGGTGTGAGTGTGAATGATGTTCTAGACGGGCTAGAGGTATGGGTGAGAGTGGTGTGAGTGTGAATGATGTTCTAGACGGGCTAGAGGGCTGGGTGAGAGTGGTGTGAGTGTGAATGATGTTCTAGACGGGCTAGAGGGCTGGGTGAGAGTGGTGTGAGTGTGAATGATGTTCTAGACGGGCTAGAGGGCTGGGTGAGAGTGGTGTGAGTGTGAATGATGTTCTAGACGAGCTAGAGGGCTGGGTGAGAGTGGTGTGAGTGTGAATGATGTTCTAGACGGGCTAGAGGGCTGGGTGAGAGTGGTGTGAGTGTGAATGATGTTCTAGACGAGCTAGAGGGCTGGGTGAGAGTGGTGTGAGTGTGAATGATGTTCTAGACGGGCTAGAGGGCTGCGTGAGAGTGGTGTGAGTGTGAATGATGTTCTAGACGGGCTAGAGGGCTGGGTGAGAGTGTTAATGATGTTCTAGACGGGCTAGAGGGCTGGGTGAGAGTGGTGTGAGTGTGAATGATGTTCTAGACGGGCTAGAGGGCTGGGTGAGAGTGGTGTGAGTGTGAATGATGTTCTAGACGGGCTAGAGGGCTGGGTGAGAGTGGTGTGAGTGTGAATGATGTTCTAGACGGGCTAGAAAGCTGGGTGAGAGTGAATGATGTTCTAGACGAGCTAGAGGGCTGGGTGAGAGTGGTGTGAGTGTGAATGATGTTCTAGACGGGCTAGAGGGCTGGGTGAGAGTGGTGTGAGTGTGAATGATGTTCTAGACGGGCTAGAGGGCTGGGTGAGAGTGGTGTGAGTGTGAATGATGTTCTAGACGGGCTAGAGGTATGGGTGAGAGTGGTGTGAGTGTGAATGATGTTCTAGACGGGCTAGAGGGCTGGGTGAGAGTGGTGTGAGTGTGAATGATGTTCTAGACGGGCTAGAGGGCTGGGATGAGAGTGGTGTGAGTGTGAATGATGTTCTAGACAAGCTAGAGGGCTGGGTGAGAGTGTGAATGATGTTCTAGACGGGCTAGAGGGCTGGGTGAGAGTGGTGTGAGTGTGAATGATGTTCTAGACGGGCTAGAGGGCTGGGTGAGAGTGGTGTGAGTGTGAATGATGTTCTAGACGGGCTAGAGGGCTGGGTGAGAGTGGTGTGAGTGTGAATGATGTTCTAGACGAGCTAGAGGGCTGGGTGAGAGTGGTGTGAGTGTGAATGATGTTCTAGACGGGCTAGAGGGATGGGTGAGAGTGGTGTGAGTGTGAATGATGTTCTAGACGGGCTAGAGGTATGGGTGAGAGTGGTGTGAGTGTGAATGATGTTCTAGACGAGCTAGAGGGCTGGGTGAGAGTGGTGTGAGTGTGAATGATGTTCTAGACGGGCTAGAGGGCTGGGTGAGAGTGGTGTGAGTGTGAATGATGTTCTAGACGAGCTAGAGGGCTGGGTGAGAGTGGTGTGAGTGTGAATGATGTTCTAGACGGGCTAGAGGGCTGGGTGAGAGTGGTGTGAGTGTGAATGATGTTCTAGACGAGCTAGAGAGATCACGTTGGTCACGAATCTAATTGAGTTCACGCTTATAGCTAGAACCATCCGAAACGTGTGTACTTTTTCAATTTTTGCCACAAACACGAGGGCGCCGAGGTTGATTGGTTTCGCTCTCAGGGCAGGGTCAACCTCCATCAGCACGTCTCAAGGTCCAGTCCTCGCAGCCCCCAGCACCACCCCCACATCGCCTTTCCGCATACTTCCCCGCTCAACTATAGATGTACTCCTTCCACGCCCCATGCGCCCCATGATTGTTAAACGCGTCCCACGCGACGCACGAAGCAATTGACGCTGTTTGCCTTAACGGAGCCGATTCACATGACGATTGAGATCTCATCTTCTTGGTTCTTTCGGTGAAGTCACGTAGAAGGGAAATAATAAAATTAAAATAAAAAAAAACATAATAAAAATTAAATTGAACATAATACTAATTATTTTATTATGTTTCATTTTAATTTTTTTATTTTTTACCTTCTACGTGACTTTACCGAAAGAACCAAGAAGATGAATCCCTGCAGTCACGAAAGCTTTACATCGAGATTGAGATCTCACTGCACGTGTGTGTGCGTGTGTGTGCACGTGTGTATGTGCGTGTATGTGCACGTGTGTATGTGCGTGTGTGTACACGTGTGTGTGTGCGTGTGTTTGTGCGTGTGTGTGCACGTGTGTATGTGCGTGTGTGTATGTGCGTGTGTGTGCACGTGTGTATGTGCGTGTGTGTACACGTGTGTATGTGCGTGTGTTTGTGCGTGTGTGTGCACGTGTGTATGTGCGTGTGTGTGCACGTGTGTATGTGCGTGTGTGTGCACGTGTGTATGTGTGTGTGTGTTCGTGTGTATGTGCGTGTGTGTGCACGTGTGTGTGCACGTGTGTATGTGCGTGTGTGTGTGCACGTGTGTGTGCACGTGTGTGTGCACGTGTGTATGTGCGTGTGTGTGTTCGTGTAGTAGAGCGATTAGCGTGCTGCGCTACGAACCCGGCGACCTGGGTTCGATTCCCGCTCATGGTCAACACCAGTGACGATTATCTGAACCGGTCCTGGGCCTCCCATGGGTCGACTCAGCCTCAAATGAGTACCTGGTGCACTGTGTAAACATTGCCACTCGGGAGACAAAGGCGGTCGGGCGTCGTGTTGGCCACCCATCCCCTCGTGTGCCACAGTGCCGGCCTTCATAGGTGCTTGCTAACAGCACTTGCCCCAACAGTATGTTAAGGCTATAAGGGGATCTTTGTCTTTGTGTACACGTGTGTGTGTGTGTACACGTGTTCCACGTGTGTGTGTGCACGTGTTCAACGTGACGAATTTGAGTTGGCCAGGTCTACGGCGCATGCGCTCACCACTGCGCCACCGCTCTGCCCCAGATGCATGTTCATGAATACCGATCTGTGCATATGGCGAATAAAAGTTAATCGTCTGATAACTCGCGCCCTGAAACTGGTTGGCGCATGATCCAATTGTATTGGCCATGGAAATAAATCTCTACCGCCGAGGTCTCGAACCAATAGACTCACACAGATACCAATCTACCCACATAGAGACCCATAGACTCACACAGAGACCCATAAACTCTCAGATACCGATAGACTCACGCAGATACCAATCTACCCACGTAGAGACCCATAGACTCACACAGAGACCCATAGACTCTCAGATACCAATAGACTCACGCAGATACCAATCTACCCACATAGAGACCCATAGACTCACACAGAGACCCATAAACTCTCAGATACCGATAGACTCACGCAGATACCAATCTACCCACGTAGAGACCCATAGACTCACACAGAGACCCATAGACTCTCAGATACCAATAGACTCACGCAGATACCAATCTACCCACATAGAGACCCATAGACTCACACAGAGACCCATAGACTCTCAGATACCAATAGACTCACGCAGATACCAATCTACCCACATAGAGACCCATAGACTCACACAGAGACCCATAGACTATCAGATACCGATAGACTCACGCAGATACCAATCTACCCACATAGAGACCCATAGACTCACACAGAGACCCATAGACTATCAGATACCAATAGACTCACGCAGATACCAATCTACCCACATAGAGACCCATAGACTCACACAGAGACCCATAGACTCTCAGATACCAATAGACTCACGCATATACCCATGCCCCTACATAGAGAACCATAGACTCACGCAGAAACCCATATACCTCCAATACAGCTTTCACAGTCCAACTGGCCTTCATATAGACCCATTAACCGTGGTAGCCGGGACCTGGTGGCTATGCACGTGGCCTCTAATCCAGCAGCTCCGATTACCACAGTTGGCTACGTACGGTGTGAAAGAAGTTCAACATACAATACGCTCCCTTCCCAGAGCCATACTCTGGCTTGCCAGGAGAAGGCGGAACAGCAAGGGTGGACTCTCATCATCCGTCCCATCGGTACGGGGATATAGCGTTGCCCCCTCGCACGCGTGTGTTTTCTCCGGGTGCTCCGGTGTTCTTCCCGCGTGTATGTAAGCACTCATTGAAGCAGCTGAACACATCTCAATTTATGCAATTTGCATGAACGTCGCTATGTAAATGGAAACGTTCTATATATAAATCAGCTTTAGCCTTCCGCAAATCCCGTGACTTCTGTGTGGCACTCTGAATCCCTCCCCTCTCCCCGCCGCCGGCTGTGAGGACAGACGCTGCTACTCGCTCCCTCTTGCTCCTCCCTCTCGTCTCCCCTCTCGCAGCAGCAGCATCATCATCATCATCACCCTCTCATCATCTTGACCCGCTCATTCCTTCTCCTCCTTCCTTTCCTGATGCTCATCGCGAGCCGTGCCATCCTCTTGGAGACTTCCGTCCCGGGCCTCCCTCCCCTCCTCCCCTCATCTCCCCCCCTCTCCAAACCCCCTGCCGCCCCCGTCTGGTGCCCTTTAGCCATGAACTTTACCGCCCGCTCACTGCGCCGTTCATATCAGAGCCCAATGTAGTTGAGTGTCAGGGTGACACGATGTTCATCACAAGCCGGCCAAGCCAGCGGGTTAAGGGAGCCTCCGTGGTTCAGCGTGGATCGCGTGCTAACACCCCTCACCACCATCTCTCCCAGGTGTGTCGGCAGCATAACGCGAGCGATGATTCGATCATACTTCACCGCACGCCGCATGGGCAGTGCGAGGTTTTGGCGAATGCGGGGAGCGTGGACGGCCAGTGCACAGGAGTAGAGTACAACACTTACTCTCGTGGCTGCACTGCCCGCTTGTATGTACGTTGGACTTCTATGGCACCGTACGTAGCCCGCTGGGGTTGCGAGACGTGGCCAGATTTATTTGTTTACGTAAATAATCGTAAGTACGACCACTACTTTGTTTCATCAAACCCAATGTATCCATCCACATAATACTTTGTTAGAACGATTGAAAACCGAAGGGGTGCAAGGCTGCAGTCAAGGTTTAAGGACCACAGCATGAGAGATATCCGTTTGAGTGGCGTGCGACACAGACGTTGCTCTCTGCATCATGGTGCGTTGGAATGCACACACGCATGTTGAACTTCGTTCGCACCGTACGTAGCCAACCGTGCTTGTCGGAGCATCGGCCCCGCAGCGACCTCTACACTGGACATTGGTCGCCCATCATCCAAGCAGTGTCCGGGTTCAACCCCGCTTAGCTTTATAAAGTCGGACGAGGTCGCGGGCATTTCGGGTGATGGTGCTCAGAGGCAAACATTGTTACGAGGCGGTGCAGACTTCAGACGAAGATCGCGACAGGAGAGACGAGGATGTCACAGCCGGGGTGTGTCTCACAGATAAAGCCGCTGCACTGAGCGGCAGCATGTCAGCTTCTTATACTGGTAGGAACCTCCTGGTTACACCAGCCCACAGGGGATTATTGTGTCCGTCCGTCGGTCCGTCGTGCAGGGAGGGGCTGGGTGGGGAGAGAGGGGCTGGGTGGGGAGGGGAGGGTGTGGAGGGGCTGGGTGGGGAGGGGAGGGTGGGGAGGGGATGGGTGGGGAGGGGCTGGGAGGGGTGGGGCTGGGTGGGGAGGGGGGACTGGTCACCCCGTGGTGCCCTTATAAAACTCAACGTTTAACCTACTCACGCCGGCTTGTGCCCGCCCTCACAGTCGGGCATATTTGCGGAATACACCACGCCGCCGTTGACTCTGCAGGCCATTGTTCGAGCAACCCAAAGTTCCTACCAGCTCCCTCTGCAGGACAATGTGTTATTGCGGTCGCTACACTGCGTCTGCTGCTGCACGTGGCTGCACGTGTGATCCAGCGCTGTGGAGGCAGCAGCCAGGGTTGGCGGATCACCACGCACAGATGCTGCGAAGTTCCCCTTCTTCCCGCGAAGGGGGAGGGAGCGGTGGGTCGAGGAGCCGGTGTCATGAACCCCTCGCTCGCCGGGAGAAGGCGGTACAGCAAAACAAGTGTGCACTCCGCCTCGTTCCGTCTGTGTGGGATAGAGCGTTGCTCCCTCGCACCCGTGAATTTTCTCCGTTAGCTTCGGTTTCCTCTCGCGCGTAACACCCTCGTATGCAGAGGACCGCGGAGCTCGGGGAAATCGTTGGCGCCGGCTCCTCGCCGCCGCGTGGCTGCTACTGCTGCTGCCTTCCCGCACCTCGATGGTGGTTCCTCCTCCTCGCCCCCCCCCCCTCTCTTTCCCCTCTCTACGAGAGCGAGTGAATTCCGTGCGGGGGGGGGGTCATCGCGTTGTTACAAGTTGACGTTATTCGTGTCATTATTATTATCACCACTGCCACCGTTGTAGAGTTATATATATATGTCCTTTGGAACGACCCAGCCAACCTCCCCTAAATCCCTCTCCCCCCCGCCAACTTGTCCCGGCACAGACCTCGGAGTCAGGCCGACGCACAGCGGTAGACTTCGCGTGAAGCGTCTTCGAGCCGCCTGCCGCATGGGAGTTGATCCGGCTCGAGCATTCCCGCGCCGGGGCCAAGTCCAGCCATGGTTCACGGCCACGCCGCCCCGGCACCGCGAGAGGACGAGACCGCTCGGAGCCGCCACCACCTCCGCCTCTTCTCCCTCCCCACTCCTCCCGCGCAGCCGTCCGCCGATAACGACGATGACGACGGCTACCCAACAGCAGCAGCAGCGGCAGCAGCAGCGGCGGCAGCAGCAGCGGTGGCGGCAGCAGCGGCAGCGTCAACTCCGACCACTTCCATCGACGGCAGCAACGAAGACTCCGACTCGAGCCACCTTCTCATCACGGTGAACGTCGGCGGCTTCCGCCAGAGGCTGTCCCCGGGCACGCTGCTGCGCTTCCCCGAGACGCGCCTCGGCCGCATTCTCTCGTGCCGCTCCGAGTCTGCGATCCTGCAGCTGTGCGACGACTACGTGCGCGACAGCCGCGAGTTCTACTTCGACCGCCACCCGGGACTCTTCCGACACGTGCTCGACTTCTACCGCACGGGCCGCCTGCGTGCGCTGCAGCAGGAGCTGTGCGTCTTCAGCCTGAGCCAGGAGATCGAGTACTGGGGGCTTCCCGACCTCCTGCAGGTGGCGAGCAGCTCGTACTGCTGCAGCCACCACTACCTGGAGCGGCTCGAGTGCCTCGCGGCGGGAGCGCAAGCCGGGCGGAGCGGCCGGCGCTGCCTGCGCAAGAATAACGACGACGACGATGACGATGAAGAGGAAGACGACGACGATGACGATGAGGACGATGATGACGACGACGACGATGGGAGCGACAACTCCGGCGATGAGGACGGTGACGCCCGCGGTGACGGTAGCGGCGGCGGCGAGGATGACGAAGCGACCGACGCGAACTACCGATGCTGCGCCGGGAGACGCAGGAGGATGTGGGCGATGCTGGAAAACCCCGGCTACTCGCGCCTCGCCAAGGTCTACACGGGGGTGTCCATCGCGGTGCTGCTCGTGTCCATCATCTCCATGTGCGTCCACAGCATGGGGGACGAGCGCGCCGGGGCGGCGGAGGACCCCGCGCTGCCCGTGGTAGAGGACCCCGTGCTCGCCGTGGTAGAGGACGTGTGTGTCGCCTGGTTCACGCTCGAGCTCGCCGCCAGGATGATCGCGGCCCCCGACCTCAAGGTGCGACCTCGGGGAGCTGTCTCGCCCCCTCTTGTCCGTCTCCATTGGGACTCTATGTCTGTCTGTCTCCCTGTCTCTCTGTGTCCACTGTGTCCAGTGTCTCCACTGGGACTCCCTGTCTGTCTGTCTCCCTGTCTCCTCTGTCTCCACTGTGACTCCCTGTCTGTCTGTCTCCCTGTCTCTCTGTGTCCACTGTGTCCAGTGTCTCCACTGGGACTCCCTGTCTGTCTGTCTCCTCTGTCTCCATTGTGACTCCCTGTCTCTCTGTCTCTGTGTCTCTCTGTCTGTCTCTGTGTGTCTGTGTCTCTCTGTCTCTCTGTCTCCTCTGTCTCCACTGGGACTCCCTGTCTGTCTGTCTGTCTCTCTGTGCCCACTGTGACTCCCTGTTTCTCTGTCTTTCTGTCTGTCTGTCTCTACTGCCTGTCTCCCTGTCCCTCCGTCTCAACTGGGACTCCCTGTATCTCTGTCTTCATAACCTGTACCTCCCTGTCTGTCTCTACTGTGTCTTCCTGTCTAGATGTCTCCATTCTCCCAGTCCCAACTTAATTTCTCTACAACCCCAGGGAGACAACCAGTGGAGACAGGGAAACAGGGAGACAGGGAAACAGGGAGACAGCCAGACTCGGCCGCAATTAAAAGCCGTGACGACTCCACTGCCTCTCCCCCTCATCATCATCCTCATCATCCTCACCCTCCTCCTCTTCCCCCTCCTCCTCCTCATCATCATCCTCACCCTCCCCCTCCTCCTCCTCTTCTCCCTCCTCCTCCTCACCCCCCTCCTCATCACCATCCTCACCCTCCCCCTCCTCCTCACCCTCCCCCTCCTCCTCCTCTTCTCCCTCCTCCTCCTCACCCCCCTCCTCATCCTCACCCTCCTCCTCCTCTTCCCCCTCCTCCTCCTCCTCCTCATCATCCTCATCCTCACCCTCCCCCTCCCCCTCCTTTCCCCCTCCTCCTCACCCTCATCCTCCCCCTCCTCCTCCTCTTCCCCCTCCTCCTGCTTCCCTCCAGAAGTTCTTCAGCCGCCCGCTCAACTCCATCGACCTGGTGTCGGTGACTCCGTTCTACGCGACGCTGCTGCTGAGCGGCGTGGAGCTGGGCAACGTGGGCCGCGTGGTGCAGATCCTGCGGCTCATGCGCGTGCTGCGCATCCTGAAGCTCGCGCGGCACTCCACGGGACTCCGCTCGCTCGGGCAGACGCTGACGCACAGCTACCACGAGGTGGGGGCCCGTGGGCGGGGGGGGGGGCGAGGAGTAGGGAGGGCGAGGGGCATGGAGGGGGGGGGGGCGAGGGGCATGGAGGGGGGGGCTAGGGGCATGGAGGGGGCGAAGGATATGGGGGGAGAGGGGCATGGAGGGAGGGGGGCGAGGGGTAGAGGGGGTGAGGGGCATGGAGGGAGGGCGAGGGGCATGGAGGGGGCGAGGGGATGGTGGGGGGGGGCGAGGGGCATGGAGGGGGCGAGGGGTAGGGAGGGCGAGGAGCATGGAGGGGGCGAGGGGATGGTGGGGGGGGGCGAGGGGCATAGAAGGGGGGGGGGCGAGGGGCATGGAAGGGGGGGGGGGCAAGGGGCATGGAGGGGGCGAGGGGATGGTGGGGGGGGGCGAGGGGCATGGGGGGTGGGAGTGAGGGGATGGTCGGCGGGGCAGATGTCTACTGGACATCTGTGAAAAAGAGCTTTATAGCTCATCGGATTCCGCCAGCATGAATAAAGATTCTGATGATTCTGAAGATGCGCGTGCGAGGGAAGGGATGCCCGGGACGGAAGCCCCCAAGACGGACAAAGAGGGGGGGGGGGGGGGGCACGGCTCGAGATGAGCAGCAGGAAGAGAGGAGGAGAATAATCTGAATATTTATATATCTCGGATAAATCTGATTAACTATAAAGCTCTTTTTCACAGATGTAAATTAGAGAGTGCTGAATCATCACTCACCCGGATCATTTGGTGGGCAGGTGTGAAGATAGGCAGGTGGACAGGCAATCAGGTGGGAGGGTATTCAGGTGGGAAGTTAGTCAGGTGGGAAGTTTTTGCTTTCAGGGTTTTCAAGGCGTAAGCAGACACTGAACCAAACGTGTGGCACCTATCGAGCGCACGATCAGGATTGACCGCTGCCAACGACTCGGGGCACTTTCCTCGTGCAGTGCGGTAAAGTGTGGGCACTGCCACCTCTTCCAAGACGTCTGGCCAGCGTGGAAGAGTAGGCCAAATCCTCCCTTCTAGGTGGGGCTCTCTAAAGTTCCCTCTTAGCGGAGGCCCTTCTGCTGGCAGTGGCGTGAGCAAGCAATTGCAGGGGCTGCGTCTTTACCTTTACCCCCTACGGACGCGGTCGCTAGCGTCTCTGTGTGTTGGGTGGTCACGAGGGTTGACGCCGCGCATTGGTCAGTGTTGGTTGGAGGCGAGGCTGCGCATCTCAATGTTTATTTTACATTTCGCTGGCCCGGCTGCAGAAACACATTTACATTTCACAAGGGTTTTACCCCCTCCCTCCTCTCCCCCCTCCTCCCCTCCCACCCCCTCCCTCCCCCTCCCTCCCTGTCTGGCTGGTTGCTCCCGCCCATGCATCTCCCACCCCAAACCATATGGCATTGATAGAAATGACCATGAGTCAATCATGAATCGCACAGCCTCTGATATTGTTTTTTGGGTGTCTGTGAATGGGCGACTCTCTGGGTCCCCGTGTCTACGGTTCCCCGTACATCTCTACGCGAGTCTATGGGCCTCTGTGTGAGTCTATGGGCCTCTGTGTGAGTCTATGAACATCAATGCAAAGTCGATGTGCCGTGTAAGAACGGCTGTCCCTGGCAATAGCCCTTGCTTAGCTCGACAGCAGCAGGGCATTGGAAGAGTTTAAGGTGAGAGCGCACGGCGCTCTGAGTTCCCGAGGCAATCGGATGATCCTCTCCACCCAAAATCCTCGTCCGCATCCCCCGCGGCACCGCCTGGGTCTCGATGATCACGTGGTTCGGTCTGCGACTGGGGCTGTGTGGCGGTGTGCGGGGGTCACGTGCGCAGGTGGGCATGCTGCTGCTCTTCCTGTCCGTGGGCATCTCCATCTTCTCGGTGCTCATCTACTCGGCGGAGAGGGACGAGGAGGAAGGGGGGCTCGCGAGCATCCCGCTGTGCTGGTGGTGGGCCACCATCAGCATGACGACCGTGGGCTACGGGGACACGTACCCCGTGACTGCCGCCGGCAAGGCCATCGCCACGGCGTGCATCATCTGCGGCATCCTCGTCGTGTCGCTGCCCATCACCATCATCTTCAACAAGTTCGCCATGTACTACAGGCGGCAGAGCAAGCAGCTGCGGCGGGCTGCTGCCAAGTACGCCGCCGTCGCCAAACGTACGTCGTCTGGGAGACAGCCCAGAGCCTCTGTAAACTCGCTATTTTAACCTTCTTCTTGGTTCTTTCGGTAAAGTCACGTAGAAGGGAAATAGTAAAATAATAAAAATAAAAGATAATAAAATATTATTTATTATGTTGTATTTTTATTATTTTATTATTTCCCTTCTACGTGACTTTACCGAAAGAACCAAGAAGATGAATCCCTGTAGTCACGAAAGCTTTAAATCTAACTTTTAACTGAACTCTTATTACTCTTTGGTTCTTTCGGTAAAGTCACGTAGTTAGAAATTAAATTAAATTTTAAAAATCACGACGTTTCGATCGACACACAAGCGGTCGTCATCATTATTTTATTTCTACCCACGTGACTTTACCGAAAGAACCAAAGAGTGTGGATTCCTGCAGTCACGAAAGCTTCAAATCAAGATTGAACTCTTATTTTTATTTTAAACTCAACAAATTTAAAATCTTGATTTGAAGCTTTCGTGACTGCAGGAATCCATACTCTTTGGTTCTTTCGGTAAAGTCACGCAGGTAGAATTAAAATAAAATAAATCACGCCGTTTCGAACGTCGTGATTTATTTATTTATTTTTATTTTACGAGGTAGGTGCCTGCTGAGCCATGTGGCTCTTTATTCAGAAGCAACCTTGGCTATCGCAAATGATAGCTCAACGAAGTGGCTTATCACGTTGACGTGTATACCCCTAGCAGCCAAATACTCTAAACCGTGGAACCACTGCTCTAAACACGCAACCTCCAAATAGACAGCAGCAGGCGTCAGGGTCGGGATCGAACCCACGACCTCCTGCATACCCGGCGAGGTCGTTAACATCTCCCCACCGCGACGGTTTGACCGTAGCATTCGACGTTTCCCGCTGGGTGTTGCGCCCAGCGGCTGCAGGTAGCCACCGCAGCAGCGGGCTCAGGCAGGTGGTCGCATCAAGATGCCGCGGGCAACTTCCCCGGCGGAGCATTGTGTGTGATTGGTAAAAACAACTAAATGTGGTGTGAATCGCCTCTCGACGTAGTGACCGGTTTTTTGTTGAGAACGATGTCAATTTGCGCGTTTGTTGTTCACGTGACAACTGGATTTGTGTGTGGGCGCCCGGGATAGCGAAATGTTATCCCAATTGAGCGATTCGTGGCGTAATTTTCAGATTTGGCAAATGCGGCCGTTGTCGGCGAATGACGTCCGGTGGATCTTTAACGTCCACGGTGAAGCAGAGGGAGGAGCCTCGTAGCATTGTTACGGTCATTGTCACGCGCCGCAGCATTAACCAGGGCGGCCGCTGGAATTCGAACCGCGGACTTCCGCAGCTCCTGCTGGGCCCGTGCCACCGTTCCCAATCCTCTCTCTTCGCCCCATCTCGCCCCTCCTTCCCGCACCCCCCCCCCCTCCATCCCGAGCAGGCGCTGAGAAGGAAGACTGCCCTTCGATCCGCAGCCGAAGCCCCAGCGTCGACGTGATCCCCAGGAAGGCGGCGTCAGCGCAAGGCGAGTTGCTTCTCGCCAACGAGAAGAGCTCCATGTGAAGAGACCGGGGGGGCGCGCCGCTCTGGCGACAAATCTCCCGAAGTCGAGGAACCTCCCGGCAATCCTCGCCTCGAGCTGCCCGCCGGCGCGACTCTCCGCTGTCGCCGGGCCCGCGACCCGCTACGGGCTTTGTAACGTGCGGCACGCGGCAAAGCTTGGGAGGTGGCCCGGCCAGCCGGCTGGCTCAGGGGGTGTTCATAGTCAATGGCCGTGTCGCAGTGAGAGAGAGACTCTGAGGCAGTCACCGATGAGATCACGGGCTCCAGGCGTGAAGGTTGACGTTAGGGCCATGCGATGTGAGGTTTTGTAGCGGAGGACGAGATTACCGAGGCGTCATCTAGCTGTGGATAGATGATGATGATGTTGTTGTAAGAATGAGATGCCGGGTGGTCTAGGGGTCACAGCACTGAGCCGGAACCTCTGAGATGTTCGGTTGTACTGTGAGGTTCAGCTGCTGAACGTGATTAAACGGGGTTCTACAGTGCAGCGAGCTGATGGTCTAAGTCCGGTCACCGATGATTGCTACGACAACAGAAAAGTTGACTGTTGATTTGCACTTCATGCGGCTCATTCCAGCTCTGGGAGTTTAAAATGAAAGCGGCTTTATTGAGGAACACTCTTGGCAGAGCACGTGACAGGTGTAAGAGAGAGGCCCGTTGGAGTGGCTTTAGAAGTGGTTCTGTGATGTCATCTTCAAGGCAACTTTCCGACACAAGGTGATGCACTGGCAGCACAATTATAATATTAACCAAAAAAGTAAGAGAGACAAAAAGTAGCTAAATGAAGCTCCCGAGAGCAATGTCTGCGGCAGTCGCATTAACATAGAGGGAGACGATGAGAGAGCAAGCGGCAATGATAGAACCGCTCTAGTAACGACAGCAGCAGTAGCAGAGAGATCAGTGGGGGGGGGGGGGGGGGCGGGGGGCGGACTGACGACTTTGAGTGTGGAGAGAGGTAGCCAAGAAACAAGAAAACACAAATCCCTTCCCACCTCCACCCCGATTCCCGCTCCCCCCCAGGCTACGGACACTCTCCAATTACTGACATTTGGTCACGCGACCGATCGCAACATTTGCTCTGATGCTTTAATTATCATACTCTTAGTTCTTTCGGTAGAGTCACGTAGGTAAAAAATGAAATTAAAATTAATAAAATAAAACAATAAAAATCACGACGTTTCGGAGGCAACACAAGTCTCCGTCATCAGGTGGGACCGTCACAGCTAGATTTGCTGCATCAAGTGAGGCAGGGATTCAAGATGCAAGCCCTTAAATACAAGTTTAGGGGGAGGAGAGGGGGGGAGGAGCTTATCAGAATGTGGTAGCCAATGAATGGAAAGTATCGGGAGGGGGGGGCGGGGCTAAAAGAGGGCGCGAGGTACTTTAATTATCTCCACGCACCGCGTGTTGCCTCGGGAGACATTGGCCCGTGGTGATCCCGTCGAACGCCCGAACGATTGTACATTTGAAGGGGACACCTCGCACCGAATACGATTCGATCATTTTGCAGGCTGGATATTTTCAAATTTCTGTTGTTGCTCCCGATACTCCGGCGCGCAATGGCCTCGTGCTCACGACGCCACGCGGCGTTTCGTCACGCCACGCACGGACATTCACTGCTCGGAAAAGCATGCGAGGAAGCCGCCACGGCTGAGTGACGGTTCAGCGGCGCTACGGGACTTGCAACTCCAGAGGTCGCCGGTTCGATCCCATCTCCCGGAGCGGTGGTTGAGACCCTGATGCGTGTTTCTTAAGCCGCCCACCGCCCGCGCCGCCTCCGTCCACCCGGCGGCGTGAATGGGTTGCGCCGCAGTTAGTCGATCGGATAAGTCGCGTCTGGCGGGGTAAAGTGTGGAAGAGTAGGCCAAAATACCGTCTAGAGGGATCCTTGAGGGCTGCCTTTAAGTGAAGGCCCTTCTGCCGGCAGTGGCATGAGCAGGGAATTGCAGGGCTGCACTCTTACCTTGTTTTCCTTTTAGCCGAGTAAAGTATATATGTACATATTAAAAATATATCAGCCTAATAGACCATGCACTTTACTGTCGTGTAAATAAGAACATTATACAGCCTCTTGCATTTACGGTCACGAGTGGTGAAAAACAAAGATAGTATCGGGTTGACTGCCATGCGACGAACGTTACTCCCATGTGGCAGAGCGGGTGGGGAATGTGCTGCCCTCTTCTGTGCGTGGACCAGAGTGTCACTTGAAGAATAAGAAGGAGAAGGGATCTCAGATGTAGTTCTGTGGTATCCGCTTCGGTGGACCACTTCGTAACACGAAGGTGCCACGCTGGCTTTGCGATATTTCCGAATGGATTACTCGTGCCATGACCATGTGACGTGTCATGATCACGTGACGTGTCATGCATGACCTTGTGATGTGTCATGACCACGTGACGTGCCATGATCACGTGACATGCAATGACCACGTGACGTGTCATGACCACGTGACGTGCAATGACCATGTGACGTAACATGGCCATGTGACGCAGATGGCATCTGGTGGGTAAATGACAACAAAATATAGATACATAAAAAAACATTAGTGACTGTGCAAATGCTATATCCGCAGTCCTTCTCAGAGGCAATCGGCCAACACTCTCCCACGAGCGGTGAGCATTGACCCAATAACTAGAGGTTTCTGATGTAAAATAAGAAAAATCACTTCACCCGGAACCTTTGAAATTGCATGCGGTCTGCTTATTCACAGTGACACCCGAGATGCATGTCATTGAAAACAATATATATTTGACACCCGAAGAGAGCGGGCACATTCTACATTAACTTGTTGTAGCCTGGGCCTCGAGCAAGACCAGGGACTTCAGTAGTTGTCTGTGTCGGGTGGAGGAGGGTGTACGACACACAATCTGACCCCAAACAAAATCATTACGAATCAGGAATGGGCAGGTGTTGCAGAGGTCCTCTTTTCGATTCGATCTCCCGGCGAGTACAGTTTTGCGAACAACGCGTGTCCGTTTCTTAAATCCTCGACACCACGTCGCCTCTGTTAAGGGGTTCATCGCTGTTCGCCCATCAGCAGCAGGTCGTGCGTGCGGTGGGGTAAAGTGTGGGTACGTCCGCTCCCACCTCTTCCAAGACGTACTGGCCAGTGTGAAGGGGTAGGCCAAATTTCGACAGCCGGGGCTCTCTCGCAACAGAGCGGAGGGCCTTCGGGCCAGCGGTCGCGCGAGCTGGCAATTCCAGGGCCGCGCCTTTGCCTCCGCTCAAAGCAGGGCCGCGCGTGATGAAGCGATACCCAGTGATGATAATCTTTGGTTCTTTCGGTAAAGTCACGTAGGTTAAAGAAAAGAAAAAAAGTTAAAATAAATAAATTAAATCGGTGATGATGTTTCAAGGGCTTGCGGGCGGCGCTCACGTCACAGATAAAGACACACGCAGCAACAAATAGAACTCAACTATTATTTGGGGTGATGGGTGTGCGGGGCAACAGTCGAGTGAGCAAACCTTAATGAAAGCACGCGAGTTATGTTGAATTACCACGTCGGATAACAAACAAAAAACACTTTGTCTTCCTTCATTTAAATGAATGAATTATTTTGTTGCTGCTGCTGCTGCAATTAAATTGGGCAAAGGGCCCACGCTGATCCCGAGTCTCGTCTCGTTTGTGCGCGATCCGAGTTGACCCTCCAGCCCCCCCCCCCCCCCCCCCCCCCAGCTCAACCCTCCTTCCCACTCTCCCCGCGGTACAATTTGCGTCCACGTGTGCCAATGTCTCTCTATTTAAATGCAAATTAGATCCTATTGACGTCCTCCTGCACCTCCCTCCCCCCCATTGGAATTCTAAACAGTGTTGGCGGTGGAGTGACACCGGCCGGCGCCCGGGTACTACCATCAGCGGGCGCGTGGTGTCACACTGACCAGCGTGGTGAAGTATGGTCAAACTTCTTGGTTCTTTCGGTAAAGTCACGTAGAAGGAAAATAATAAAATAATAAAAATAAAACATAATAAAATAATTCTCACGACGTTTCGGCTACAACGCAAGCAGCCGTCTTCAGGTGGAGAACAGGTCTGTCGAGAGGACAGAGTCAGGTGGAGAACAGGTCTGTCGAGAAGACAGACTCTGTCCTCTCGACAGACCTGTTCTCCACCTGAAGACGGCTGCTTGGGTTGTGGCCGAAACGTCGTGAGAATTATTTTATTATGTTTTATTTTTATTATTTTATTATTTTTCTTCTACGTGACTTTACCGAAAGAACCAAGAAGATGAATCCCTGCAGTCACGAAAGCTTTACATCGAAATTTATGGTCAAACTGCTCCCCCCCCCTCGCCCCACCTTCTTAGTGATGGCTATGCACGTGTCTGCTGCCTGGAATCTGGAGGCAACAGCGAGGGATTGGTGGATCACCGCACACACAACGCACAGATGGTGTGAAACTCCCCTCCCGTGCGCGTTGAGAAGGTGCCATACCCTGGCTCTCTAGCGAAAGGCGCTACAGCGGGTGGACTAATCCCCTGTACGGGGATAGAGCGTTGCCCCCTCACGCAAGGCGTGGGTTTTTATCCGGATGCTCCCGTTCCCTCCCCGCTCGTATTACACTGGTCAAAAAAAAAAAAACTTTTTTTCTGGCCTGGACTTTTGCAGCTGTTTTAGACTAATTTCAGGGTGCTGATTCCAAATCGGATCTCAGATTTGCTCTATCACATCTCATTTTTATGCTATCGGCATACCCCATTTTCATTTATTTTACCCGAAATTAACTCTGTCACTTATGATTGCAAGTTGTTGCGAGTCAGTGACTGCTTTAGTGTTAAAATATGGTGCTGTATTTTTAGGATAGTGTGTTTATAATATAATTTTATGTAGATATTCCCATTTATTTAGTATTTTTCTTATGCAGTTTTTATTAAAAATGCAATATTTGATATCTCAAAAACCTGATGTGATAGACAAAAACTGGATGACAGATTTGGAATCAGCACCCCAAAATTACCTTAAAACCGTTGTAATACCTTATGCCAGAAAAAAGTGTGTTGACCAGTGTTATAAACACTCAAGTTTTTAATTGTCAGCAAAGATCTTAATAAAAAAATAAACACACGATGTAGCGGCATGACCCTCCTCCAAAATAGTCTTTGCCACCGCATTCACTCTTTTTCCTGAAGGAGCTTTCAGCACGCGAGGCGAAACGTCGGACGTCACGTCGAGCAACACGATAGCGGCACGGCCTCAAGACGCGTGGGGAGTGGGAGGGGGGAGTGACGCGGTACGGCAGAGCCGCACAAACGAAACTAAACTATTGTTATACTCTTTGGTTTCATCGGTAAAGTCACGTAGGTAAAAAACTAAATAAATTAAAATGAAAGCAACTAAATTAAAACAAATCACGACGGCCACTTGGCTCCTCCCACTCTCTAGTATCCCATATAAACATGCGTCTCAGAAATAGTTCTCTTCATACGCTACAGTCATTTTGCTGGAGCAGCCAGCTGATGACGGAGGCTTGTGTTGCCTTCGAAACGTCGTGATTTGTTTTAATTTAATTTATTTTATTGTTTTACCTACGTGACTTTACCGGATCCTTGCAGTCACGAAAACTTCAAATCTAGAATTAAACGATGTTTGTTGAACACGTAGTAGCAGGCTTTCGCGATCAATATTATACATGAATATAAATGTGTCGTTAAAGCCGCCACCACCCGACACCGGACAATTAGTGGGATTTGTCAAAACATGCCAATTCGTTACAAATGTTGTGGGTTTTACTCTCCAACACACCGGTGTGCTGAACTAGTAACGAATTGGCATGTTCTTTAAGTGACAAACCTTACTCCTTAGTTGTGTCGGGTAGTGACGGGTGTAACGGCACTTTATACAGGCAGGAACAACAGGTTCCACACTGCCCACCAGGGATTATTTGTCTGTCTGTCTGTCGTGCATATCCGGAATTCCGCCCACCCATGCACCTCCCCACCGAACACCGAGCTACGCCGCGATTGGTTGACGATGTCGGGAAGGGTGGGGGGGGAAGGGTCAACACGCCCACTCATCCAACTACCCCCCCCCAACCCCTGAACGCAGCGCTGTCCAACCAAGTTCCTACCTTCCCACTCCGAAGGCGATCTAACCCAAAAACCTCTGATGGAAAAACTTTTTTTTTATTTTACCAGGTAAGGCCCACTGAGCTATACAGCTCTTTTTCAGGAGCGATCTGGCCAAAAATGATAGCCCAACGAAGTGGCTTATCACGTGGAAATGTATAGCAGCCAAATATCTCAACGCGTAATGTTGATTATTCATGTGGAGGAGAAAACCGGAGGACCTGGAGAAAAATCCACGCGATCCACGGGGAGCGAGAGACACGCAAACTCCAAATATACAGCAGCAGGCATCGTCACGTTCGGGATCGAACCCACGACCTCCTGTATACCAGGCGAGGTAGTTAACATGTCCTAGCTACCGTGATGATGAGAAAGAGACACGCAAACTCCAAATATACAGCAGCAGGCATCGTCAGGGTCGGGGTCGAACCCACGACCACCTGTATACCAGGCGAGGTAGTTAACATGTCCTAGCTACCGTGATGATGAGAAAGAGACACGCAAACTCCAAATATACAGCAGCAGGCATCGTCAGGGTCGGGGTCGAACCCACGACCACCTGTATACCAGGCGAGGTAGTTAACATCTCCTAGCTACCGTGATGATGAGAAAGAGACACGCAAACTCCAAATATACAGCAAGCATCGTCAGGGTCGAACCCACGACCTCCTGTACACCAGGCGAGGTTGTTCCACGTGGCATCGCAAATTATTTGCCGCGCCGTCGCCCAGACACTTTACAAGACGAGAGCGCGGAGGGCATGGGCACAAGGCAGCAGTGTTCGCTGTTGTTGCTGCTCACACACACACGGAGAGAGAGAATCCCACTCTCTCTCTCTCTCTCACGCACGGCTGGGCCAATTTGGTTGCAAAATTGGATGTGCAACGACTCAGCGAGAACGCGTGTGAGCAGAGGCGGCATGGGGACACACAGCAGATGGAAACACAAACAAAGATGCCCCGTGTAATGGTAACAGACTGTTGCAACGAAGGCTGCAAGCGAGTAACGCCTTTGAAGGCCGGCACGGCACACGATGTGGGTTGGTGGCCAGCACCACGCCCGGTCGCCTTTGTCTCCCCAGTGGGGATGTTTACACATCGTACCAGCTGCTCATTTGAGGCTGAGTCGCCCTAGGGGAGGCCCACTACTGGTTCAGATAATCGTCACTGGTGTTGATCGTGAGAGGGAATCCAACTCAGGTCGCTGGATTCGTAGCACAGCGCGCTAACCACTGCGCCACCGCTCCCTCTCCCCAATGTGAACAAAGACATGCCCACACACGCACGCGCGCACACACACAGAGACGCACACACGCACACACACACAAAGACGCACGCATACACACAGAGACGCACACACACAGAAACGCACACACGCACGCACGCACACACAGAGACGCACACACACACAGAGACGCACACACACACATACGCACACACACACACAGACACACACACACAGAGACACACACAGAGACGCACACACGCACGCACACACACACAGAGACGCACACACACACAGAGACGCACACACACACAGACGCACACACACACAGACACACACAGAGACACACACAGAGACGCATACACACACAGAGACGCACACACACACATACGCACACACAGACACACACACAGAGATACACACAGAGACGCACACAGAGACGCACACACACACAGAGACGCGCACACACACAGAGACGCACTCGTTGTACCAATGTCAGCCTGGCACGCGTGCCCGACATGGCGTGGCCGGTGCGCGCGTCAGCCGATGACTTTGAGCGCCGTGCGAGTGAGTGGCACACCAGAGGTGAAGAGGGGTGGCAGCAGCGATTGATTACGCTGGGGTGTTGTGTGTGGGGGGGCGTGGGAGAATGCAGGTATGAGTGGTGGGTGGGTGGGGAGTGGGGGGGATGTGGAGAGTGGGGGGGGGGGCACCGATCATCACCACATCTGTTAACGCCACGAGTGGCTGGCTTTTAATTCCGACAGTGCTTCTCCGTGTCGAACAAAACCATCCTAAAAAGACACGCAACTTGTATTTAAGAACTTGCATCTTGGAATCCCTGCCTCACTTGATACAGCAAATCTGGCTGTGATGGTCCCACCTGATGACGGAGACTTGTGTTGCCTCCGAAACGTCGTGATTTATTATTTTTTTTCATTTTTAACCTACGTGACTTTACCGAAAAAACTAAGAGTACATAATTCGAATAAACTGGTACAAAACTGACACCTTTATACCAGTTTAAAAGGGTAAAAACCTACTACTATATTTTGCCACTGGTAAAAGAGGTCTCATAGAGTACATAACTCGAAGTTTGTTGGTGTCGTCTCCATCGTCAAGTGCCCGACTGTGCAGAGGCATCGATGATGCCAACTCACCCGCGCGCACGCGCCGTGAACGTAAACCTCCGCCAGCCGCTTCTGCCGCTGGCTTCAGATTGCCGTGGTGGGGCCAATGCCAACCTTGGTTGCGTGGTGGTGGTGGTGCAGGGGCGCACTCCACCCCGGTGGGTGTCGCTTTCGTTCG